AGAGATAATTCTCTTTTACCCATATATTATCTGGTTCAAACTATATCTACCAATTCAATCATATATGTTCTGGCCCACAACAATCAAACCTAACATGTTAAAATACAACAATTAATCACATTGTTATCTTCAAAAAATTTTTTTAGCCAAACTCATGACTACCAACCAAGTAAGAAATTTTTTATAGAAAATTTGTTTTCATATCAAAATAGTGCGCTTAGTTATGAAAGCCTATACTCTTCCGTTTCCATTATTCTGCCTTTGACTAGAAAATTTTGTCATACAAATAATATATGATATAAATTCATTTCTAGTGAAAACTATTTCTTAATTGAAAATAAAAATTGTAAAATAGTCCAATCATGAGTTCACATGTCAAATAATGAAATGGTTTAGATTACGATTCCTTTTAACCTTTTAGTAACAGTAACATAGACTACAAACCTCTATTAAAAATGTGTTATCTTTTATTCATTTTCATGGTTAATAGTTTTTTTTTTTTTTTCAAGTTCCATGCTTATTCAAGAATCATATAACTTCTTCAATGAAATTGAAGTAAATGATATGTTTTATTTCTTGCATAACATAAATAAAGTAATTAATCAATGAGATATAAACATTGAAACAATATATAAACTAATTACTATGAATTATGCTTTCTTCCCTAGATCAATCAAATACAAGTATGGAATAAAATGTGAACTTATGACAATATCACATGTACTTAATTCTTTCAATGAAGATCTACAATTTCAAAAAAATTTTTAATGCCTTGAAGCAATTCTTGAGAATTTTATTTTCATTTAAATAATAATGGTCTTACAAATATATAACTAGTAAATACTCCATGTTCAATTCTAGGCTTATGGTTGTTTCAATTCATTGCCATATAATTCACACAATATGTACTTAAACAATAAAATGAGATAACCCAGGGAAGTATAAAGTGAAATTAACACTGTTGATTAATTTTGTTCATTCATTATATTTATTGTAACAGACATGAAAATTTTAATAGTTGCTTATATATATATATATATATATATATATATATATATATATATAAGGTCACAACTCAGAAGAATGGATATATTGTTTATATCTTTAACATTACAAAGATTTCCATGGCATTACAATTAAGCAGGGCCTTTACATGTTTATCTCATCACACAAAGTAGTTCTTTAGCATAAACTTATATAGATTATTGTGCACACATGCATATCAAACAAAAATAAAATTTCTTTAGTCATATACCAATTTCTCAAGAAAGAATCTTAAATATAATAAGCAAATTTATTATATATTATCAATAACAATATATAAAAGTTATCCCTAACCTTCAATTTGCTGCTGCCATATCATCGATTTCACTATTTATTTAGATGAAAGTCTTTTTTTTCCTAGCTTCTGTTGGATTTCAAATTCTACTAAATTTGTAGTTGTAAGGTGTTTAGAGTTTTTTTTAACTTCTTACATTGGATTTCAACTTTGGATGATGTTGTCGATGAGGGGGAATTTATAAATATTGGAAACGAAATCATGAGACTCAGTCCTAAGATTGGAATGAAAGACAAACTATGATCGTATTAGTAACATTTTTGCCCATGATCGAATGCACCTTTTCCACGCCACTAATCAATGAATGCTAAGAAAAGAGTGAATCAACTACTGCAACCAACTATAATACATGACACCACTCGAGAAACCATCCAACACCCAAAAAGTGAAATAATGTTTAGAAGCAGCTAAGTAACTCCAAAAGCATAAATAATTAGCAGCTGTTTAATATTATAAAATAATCATTTTGTCATAAAAATTTCAAAAAAAGTTTTTGGATATGAATTTTGGGTTAAAGTTTTGAAAAATTTTGTAAAATTGATCCATTTGAAGAGATTTTTAAAAAATTCAAATAGTGATTTATAAAAAATCTCTAAATGAAAAAATGTTTTTCAATGTTATTAACGTATTAGAATATTTTAAAAGCTTTTTCAATAATAAGATTCTATTTTCTTCAAATAAAAATAAAATAATAAAAAATAATAAAATTTTTTGAAAAAAGTGAAAAATGAAAATAAAAACAAAAAACCAAGTTTGTGATAATAAAAAGAGAAATTAAAGAAATTATTTTTAAATATTAAAATTAAGATTTTTTTGTCAAGATCAATAAATAACACATAATTAATTGATACTGTTTTTAAAATGAATGCTGTGAGGATGCTAATTTTTTGCTATGTATAACCTAAATTATTTTTTCAAACCAAAAAGTATCTTTTAAATAAATTTTAATTAATTTTAAGGTTTTATTGAAAAATTAAGTTTTAATAGATTGTCTAATCATACATAACCACAAATCAAAATTAATGACAACTTTTTATATTTTTAAATTCGTCAAGCGATCTTCAAAATTATTATTACAAAATAAAAATATTTAAACATAATAATTACAACTTTTATTATTAACTATTACTTAGAAATGTTTAAGCATATTTAAATAGTTATAATTCTTTCATTATTAATTATTATAAATAATTATAACTATTTCATTATTAGCTATTATAAACAGATGTTTTTGTTTAAAATATAATTATGCAAAATGTGAATAATTAATAGGCCTTTTAGGTGCAAAGAAGAGTGCCAAAATATCAAAATTCACACTTTTTCCTTATAAAAAGATAGTGTAAAAAACCACAGATGACAGTTCTTTCCCTTCACTGTGTTCAAAATTATCAAAATCTTCAAAAATCCCCTTGGCCCTGTTTCTTTAACTTGTTATCCTCAACAATTCAAAACAAATGAAAAACAGATAAAGAAAATCAAAAGCCCAAAAAGTAAAACCAACCTTTCACTTCTTCAATATTTTCATTATTATCTCACATTCACACTTCCATTCCCAAGTCCCCACCATATTTTCTTTTTCTATACAAAACTACGTAGAATTTCCACGTCACGTAAAACGACAACAAACAAAGGCCCCTACCTCCCTCCCCGTACATATCCCCAGCTATCTACCTATCTTGCCACGTGTACAGCATCTCCATCCACCATTGATTCCGCTACGTGTCCAAGCGGACAAGCCTCTTGCGCGTTGGTGTCTGTAGATCTCACATAGCTGGCAACTTTGATTAATTTCTATATTTGATTTTTTTAATTATATTAAATTATTAACGATTATTTCACATATTAATTGACATATTACTAAAATTAGTATTTAAAAATTAAGAATTTGAGAAAATTTAAGTGTATAATTTTTTTTTCAATTAAGTATGTAATTAGGTAAAGATATTTAAGAGTAGATTAAAAATTTTTTAAAAAAAATTATATTAAATTATTTATTTTTTTAGGTCATCTAAGTAGTTGGAAGATTTATCTTCTCTAAATTACAAATAATATTAGTATTAAATAATATTTCATTGAAAAGAATGCAAATCTATTCATTTTTAAGACTGTATACTTCATTTTCTCCATTACATAAGTTGAAGATTATTCATTAAAATTTTAAAATTATCATATTAGGTAATATTTATTCAAAAGTATTGAAATTCATTAAATTAATTATCACTATTATATTTAATATACAAATATTATTATAAACTATAATTTAACTAAATTTAAAAGTGACTTAAAGGGAATTCATTAGCTAAATTCACTTGATAAATTTTTATTTAGTTATGTATTTAACATTTTAATCATTTTAAATTTTGACTTTGCATAATTTTAGAGTAGAGTTTTAAATTTAAGGTCTATGGTCAATTAGGTTGAGAAATGATTTATTATCTACTTCTATTCATAGTATATTCAATTATTCACTATATATCTAGGCAACTTTGACTCAATAATTAGTGCATACTTATCTTTATTTAAAAAATTAAATTCAAATCATCCTAAATTCAAATAAAAAATATTAATATATTAATAATATACTCAATCACTTATAATTGTAATTTTACTTTAGAAATATTCTTAAAAATTAATTAACTAATTAAATCACAAAAGCAATAGAAGTGAGACATTTAAGATGAAGGAAAAAAGTTTAAATAAAAAATTCTTAAATTGTTACAAAAGGTGAAAAAGAAAATTTGGATTTTAATTCAGTTATTATTTCAGTTCAAATTTTGATTATATTCAATAACTATTAAGTTATTGACTTTTTAAAATAAATTCAAAATTGAGTTAAATTAGTTCATTTTTATAATTAAGTGTATTATATTAATTTTTAATTAAATTAAAATTTAAAATGAGTTAAAATTTTATGTAAACTTAATATGAGTTTTGAATTATTTTAAATTTAAGTTGATTAATCTATATTATTTTTAGTTATGCTTTTATGACACAATAATAAACTTTAAAATAAAATGAGAACAAAACACAATAAAAATTTAAATGCAAAAGTTATAATAATAATCTTGATTCCGACCTATTCAATTCCTGAAAAATCATATCCAATCAAACCAAGGTTTGAAAACAAAGCTATATGTTGTCTGTTAAAATGTCAAAAAAGAACTAAGGTGTTGATATTGCCAAGCTACGTGGCCGGTATATGCCTATTTTATTGGTGCTGGCCAGCATGGTGACTTTTTGAGTTTGGATTTACTGCCTGACTTTTTGGTTGCAACTAGAATCATTGCCAACCAGCCAATAAACACTTCTACCTTTGTTATTTGCTCCCTCGCCGGATATATAAATGCATGACAATGCCTTGTTTTTTCTTAACTCTATAGAATTAACTAATATATAATAAGGAGAGATCCGATTATATTTATGTAAAACTATATTTTTTATAATTTATTGTGCAAAACTAATAATTTGCTTGAACTTATCGTAGTGGTAAAGTTTTAAGTCAATTTATACCTCTGTTACATTAATTAAGAATACTTAAGTGGTAGCTTTTCCTCCGTTTGGGTCATATTAATGCATATGTGATAGGCTTACTTTTGAAAGTTTGGCATTTCTATTTGTACTAATAATTAACCTGGTTTGGTGCACTTCGCAGGAGAACGTGATGGCAGACGACCCTGTTTTGATTAACATAACGGAAATGATTGCAAAATTATCGCCAATACAACCTGAAAGTTGCATTTGCAAAGTGCCTAATCATCTTCGCAAGGTAGATGAGGAGGCCTATGAACCACAGCAACTTGCAATCGGTCCTTACCACCGCGATAAGGTTCACTTGAAAGCAATGGAAGAGCATAAGCTTCGGTATCTTCAAAAGCTACTTGAAGAAAGAGGGGAGATCAATGATGGGCCGAAATATGTTAAGGCAATGAGAAAATTAGAGACAAGAGCTCGCAATTGGTATACAGACCCTATAAATCTTGAATCAGATGATTTCATCAAAATGATGCTCCTTGATGGTTGCTTTATTATTCAGCTAATTCGGATGTATTTTGGCATGTCATCGAGAGTACTTGAAAATCAAATTCCCTTCTTTGTTGTATTGAAGTTAGTTGGTATGATTGGGATTTCCGATGAGGAAGATTTCGCTAGAACGATTTTGAAATTCTTGACGTACACATTACCAGATTCAAGGTTTTCTGAAGATGGTGTAAAATCGATCAATGAAATCGGACACCTACTGGACTTGATACATGAATACTGGCGTCCATCACCTATAGAAATTACGGCCTATCGAAATATGAAAGCAACGGATACCAGCCTCACACGTTGTGCCACGGAACTCAAAGAGGCTGGAATCAAGTTCAAAAATGTGAAGGGAGAGAGTTTGTATGATATTAAGTTTGAAAAAGGGACTCTGAAAATCCCAACCTTGGAAATCAATGATTGGACAAACTGTTTGCTTCGAAATCTCATTGCCTTGGAGCAGTTTTCCTCGTGCGGAGATATAACTCATATCACGGATTATGCCGTATTCATGGACTGTCTTATTAACTCTGCAAAAGATGTGGAAATACTCACACACCGTGGAATTGTTAACAACAATTTAGGTAATGACGAAGCAGTTGCCACCATGTTTAACAGACTTACTGACTCAGTAACCTACTCTTCCAAAAAATACTATTACCGTGAAGTATCAGACAAAGTGAACGCATATTGCGGAGGACGCTGGAACAAACGGCTTGCCAACTTGAATCACTACTATTTCAATAGTCCTTGGGCACTTATTTCCGTTCTTGCTGCTGCAGTCATCCTTCTACTTACCCTCATGCAAACCATATTTTCTGGAATTGCTCTTTAAAAGTAAGAAAACATACTCTCTTTTATTATGTATTATATATATTTTATGTAAATTATGGAAAATACCTTTTAAAATACAATTATTTGCTGTGAGTGATGTGAACTAATTATTATAAGTTAGAACCGCTTATCGTTTCTGTAATATTAGTCTAAGAGTGATTCGAAAGTAATTGATTATTGCTTGCTGCTTTTTCCTAGGACTTGATCTTGCTATTTTGTTTTACTTTATTTTTTATTTTTTTCTTTGAAAAGTAATAAAGGAATTCAGGGTACCTTATAACCGTTCTTTTATCTAAATATTCTATTAGTTGCTCTTTAAAAGTAATAAAGGAAAGTTTTCTGGTGGACAAGAGAATGTGATAGGAAACAGGCGATGAATCTGCCGAAGATAACTAGTAGATAGAAGGAAGAAGAAATAATGGTAGTTGATTTTGTTTACGGTTTTGTACATTGTGATTCGTCAAAGCTGGCTAGTTGGCCGCGGTTTTTTTTTTTTTTTTCTCTAGAAAGTTTTCAATGCTTTCTGCTCTTTCCATGATCTTTTCACTAAATATCGATTCGAAATGTTAAATGTGAAAATATTCTTCTTAGTCTGTCGTTCAAAAAAAAAAAAACTTTGAAAAGATCTTTTTTCCTGCAAAAACTTTACCGAATATGTTGTCTTTAAGCTATCCCAAAAAATATTGACATTCTGAGCTGCTTAATGCTTGACCTTGTAGCTATTAAACTTGGCTTAGCCTATTTCCATTTGAGTTGAATAAAAAGAATGTTTAGCAACAGGACCAGTAATCTTAAAACACATTGAAAAGAGAATGAGTGGCAGGGTATGAACTATGTGACAGAAGCTAGGCAGAGAAATATCAATTGAGCCACCATAATTCAGACCAACGCAGATATTATAAAATAAATAAATTTGAGTTCCCAAAATGGTATTCCAAACCATATGCATTCACAATCCACCAGCAATCACAAACCACTTCCAAACTCATTTTATTTCCCAATTTTTCGTAAGGGTCCCATACACATGGAAGTTCCGATATTTGAAGCACAAAACACAGAAACCAAATAAACATCAAGTACACAAATTGATTACAGAAAATGGGGCATAACCTTGCTCTAAAAGAATGCTATGCCAATGACATATGCTAATGAAGCAATAGGTATTCTGCATCTACCTATATGAATCTGGTCGCTTTGGCTTGCTTTGAACAACAGCCTCAATCTTCTCCATAATTGCAGGAGTCAGTAATGGGATTACATTGAGTGCCTTCATGTTCTCTTGAATCTGAATAGGGAGAAGAAAAGTTTACTGTTTAGTTGCATGTAAATGTTGTTAGGAAAATGGGGTCCAATCCCATGTAAGTGGTTTTGGACCAAGTAAAGGTCATGGGCCTTGATCTTTTATTTTACACAGAGCCCTAGCTACTTAATAAAAAAGAGGTGGGGTTGTTTTAGGTGTGTGTCGAAAACCAAGAGAGAAAGAAGAAAGCCAGCAAAAGTAGAGAGAGAAAAGGGAAGGGAGAGTTGGTTGAACGGACAGTCGATCCGTGGTCCCGATTGAGTTGGAACCTGTCAGGAGGTTATGGACTCAGAGTTCTACATTCTGAACGGTGAAGATCGGGTTGAAGCTCTCTAGGAATAAATCCAGGGTGTATTTGTTGAGTCACTTATTTGGTGAGATTTCTCCAATTATTTCTTCTAGTTGTTGATTAGCTCTAGTTTTAGCTAGAGAAGAACTTTGTATAACTATTATTGATAGTGAAGATTTTTCTGGTGGCCCGTGGTTTTTCCCTCTACACTGGAGGGTTTTCCACGTAAATCTTGGTGTGCTTTATTTTTCCTACGTATTTGATTATTGATTGTTGTTTATTGCTTCTGTATTGTTGTGATTATTGCTTCAGGCGCAACAAGTGGTATCAGAGCAAGGGTTATTTTGAGACATCGATACAGAAGCAACCCAGGATAGAAGTAAATTCTGTTTGAGATCATGGAGAGTGATACAGGTTCCATGATAAAATTGACAGCATCGAATTATTCAATTTGGAAGCCTATGATGGAGGATCATCTATATTACAAAGATTTGTATGAGTCAGTATTGGGTGATTCGGCTAAACCAGCAGATATGAAAGATGAAAGCTGGAAGAAGCTAGGTAGAAAAACGCTGGCTACAATTAGAAAATGGGTTGATATCAGCGTGTTTCATCATGTAGCACATGAGTCAGATGCTCACATTGTTTGGGAAAAATTGGCAGCATTGTATGAGAGAAAAACAGGTATGAATAAAGTTATGCTTGTTAAAAAGATTGTAACTTTACAGTACAGAGATGGACGATCTGTTACAGAGCACTTGAGTGATTTTCAAGATATAATTTAATCGATGACTACTATGGAGCTTAAGATGGATGATGAAATGAAGGCGTTATTTCTTTTGGGTTCATTGCCAGACAGCTGGAATACTCTAGTTGTGACTGTTCTTAATTCAGCTCCTAATTATAAGGTGACATTGGATATGGTAAAAGATAGTATGCTTAATGAAGAAGCAAGGCGAAAAGATGTAAACCCTGAAAATCAAGCTCTGGTTATAGAGAACAGGGGTAGAAACATCGACAGAGGTCAGGACCCAAAAGGTCGTGGTAAGTCTAAACACAGATCCAAGTCTAGAGGTAAAGTGAAGTGTTTTCATTGTGGTAAGGCAGGTCATATAAAACGAAATTGTAAAATCTTGAAGCAAGAGCGAAAAGATGAGAAAGACAAGAGTTCAGATGATAGCAATGTTGCAGCAGTGAATTCAGATAGTGATTCAGTTACTTTGATTTGTACACATGGTGATTGCAATCATGTTAGTGATCTCGGCATTGAGTGGATAGTTGACACAGGAGCGACATATTATTATGTTCCTTAGAGAGAGTTGTTTACAACTTACAAAGTAAGAGACTTTGGTTGTACCAAGATGGAAAACAAGAGTGTGTCATAGATTGTTGGGATTGGTGATATTGTTGTACAAACTAGTACATGCTGCATGTTGACTTTAAGGGATGTCAGACACATTTTAGATATGAGAATGAACTTGCTTGCTATTAATGTCTTTGATAAGGAGGGATATGAAAGCCGACAAAAGAATGGACAGTAAAAGCTTCTCAAAAGATCTATGGTAGTTGCAAGAGGAAAACTATGCTGCACAATGTATAAGACATGGATACAATTGAATGGTAACCAGGTAAATACCGTTGAAAATGATGCTTCAGCAAACTTGTGGCACAGGAGGCTGGCACACATGAGTGAAAAAGGGTTACAGGTTTTGGCAAGGCAGTCTCTCATTCCCTTGACCAAAGGTATGTCTCTCGATTCATGTGATTATTATTTGTTTGGTAAGCATCATAGAGTTTCTTTTCGTAAAAGTTCTCAGAGAAAAAAAAATAGATTGGAATTAATTTATTCTGACGTATATGGTCCCATTAAGGTTGAGTCATTAGGTGGTAGCAGATATTTTATTACTTTTATTGATGATGCTTCACGTAAGACTTGGGTGTATATGTTAAAATACAAAAGTCAGGTACTACAGTATTTTTAAAAATTTCATGCCATGGTTGAAAGGATGACAGGGTTACCCTTGAAGTGTATTCGAACTGATAATGGTGGGGAATACACATCTAAAGGCTTTGAAGAGTATTGCTCAAAGTATGGGATCAGGCATGAGAAGACAGAACCTGGAACACCGCAGCATAATGGTATAGGTGAAAGAATGAATCACACCATTGTGGAAAAAATCAGATGTATGTTGAGGATGGCAAAATTACCAAAGCCATTCTGGGGTGAAGCAGTCAACACAGCTTGTTATTTACTTAACAGGTCACCATCAGTTTCTTTGGGCTTTGACATTCCAGAAAGAGTGTGGACATGGAAAGATACTTCATACTCTCACTTGAAAGTTTTTGGGTGTAAAGCATTCATGCATGTACCGAAAGAGTAGAGATCAAAGCTTGATAGTAAAGCTACACAGTGTGTGTTTGTAGGATATGGTGATGAGGAATTTGGCTACAGGGTATGGGATCCAGTAAAGAGAAAGACAGTCAGAAGCAGGGATGTGGTCTTTCATGAAAAAGAAACCATAGCAGACTTTGAGAAAAATGATAAGACTACACAAGTTACTGTTGAGTGTGATGTTTCAACACCGATAGGGATTCCACAGGAAAGAGCCATAGATGGTGAAAATGAGCAAGAAACAGAACTTGAGGATATGAATGAGCCAGCTACAGTTGGTGATGAGTCAGATGCTATTAGTTTTAAGCAGGGGGAGCAATCTTCTCTGCCTGAGAGTGTTGAGCAGGGGAAGCTACCTTCGACATCAAGTGATGTAGAGTCTCAGCCCAGGAGATCTACTAGAGAGCGCAGGCCATCTACCAGGTATCCAAGTTCAGATTTTATTTTAGTTACCAGTGAAGGGGAGCCAGAAAGCTTTCAAGATGTGCAGGTTACTCCGAATAGAGAGAACTGGTTAAAAGCAATGAAAGAAGAGATTAAATCATTACGAAAGAATGGTACTTATGGTCTTGTTAAACTTCTCAGGGAAAAGCTTGAGCTTTGCAGTAACTTGGCCGAAATGAGTTCCCTGGCCAAGGTAAGTTCCAAATGAAATTGCTATGGTGATGAATCTCCTCTTAATGGGGCTGGAGGAGGAGATTGTTAGAAAAATGGGGTCCAGTCCTATGTAAGTGGTTTTGGACCAAGTAAAAGCCATGGGCCTTGATCTTTTATTTTACACAGAGCCCTAGCTACTTAATAAAAAAGAGGTGGGGTTGTTTTAGGTGTGTGTTGAAAACCAAGCAGAAAAAGAAGAAAAGCCAAGAAAAACAAAGAGAGAAAAAGGAGAAGGGAAAGTTGGTTGAACGGAAGTCGATCCGTGGTCCGATTGACTTGGAACCTTGTCAGGAGGTTTATGATTCAGAGTTCTACATTTTGAACGGTGAAGATCGGGTTTGAAGCTCTCTATGAACAAATCCATGGTGTATTTGTTGAATCACTTATTTGATGAGATTTCTCCAATTGTTTCTCTAGTTGTTGATTAGCTCTAGTTTTAGCTAGAGAAGAACTTTGTATAACTATTATTTGATAGTGAAGATTTTTCTGGTGACCCGTGGTTTTTTCCCTCTACACTGGAGGGTTTTCCACGTAAATCTTGGTGTGCTTTATTTTTCCTGCGTATTTGATTATTGATTATTGTCTATTGCTTCTGTATTGTTGTGATTATTGCTTCAGGTGCAACAAATGTATTAAAAGTAGCAGCGGCACCCATTAAAAGCCAAGTAAAAGTTAAGAACCAAATGCACTTGAATCTCAATGATAATTAAAAAATAAAATAATGGTTTAGTTGATTATAATTACTCAACAGTAAATAAACACTGACAATATCCAGTCAAACACCAGAACTATGAAATTAGAATCTCACATAAATAGGAGGACGAAAGTGTGCTGATCTGCCATTATTCGAGGTGTGTAGAACCAGCAAAAATATTTCCAAAGTTTCTGCCAAAATGATATTCTGAAGCTCATTACAGTTGCATACAAATGATAGACCCTAAATATATTAGATGTTCCTTTAGAATTAAAAATGATAATTATCCACTATTTAGCTAATTGATAATTTTATAGATTAGCAGATATTAATCAGCTCTACATGCTTGCAAATTCTATTAGTTGATATGTATCTTTAAATCACAGAAACAATGCCATGCAGAAATCATTAGGTTGTGTTTTTATTTTCTCGAGTTAAATTAACCTCTTAGTTTTCAATGTCTTCCATACTAACAACAGTCAACTATATAGACTTCTTGAAGAATTAACAATGTCTTAATTGATTTCTGTGTTGCACTCTTTGCCTTTCCAAGGACATTAGACTCCGACCTTAACCTTTAACTTCACCTTACATACTCCATAAGATTTCTCTCTGCATCTCTCCTTTTCCAAATACAAAAAACAAAAATTGGCATGTATCGTAACCTTTAACATGTGTCCCAACATTGCCACTAGAATGATGCATAGTTAGTGATGCTCACCTCATTCTACAAGAATTTAGGGGAAAAACCAATGATTTCTTTAATATTGGAACTTCTAACAAATAGCTTAGCTAACTGTAACTAGTTTGCCATAGATGAGCAATCCATGAATTAGATGAAGCAAGAATTCAATAGAGTCGAGAAAAACAGAACAACCATTATTACTTACTCAAACTTGTAGACAGGTGAACAACGAAAACACAAAAACATATTTGTTCAGAAATTTGGTATA